AAAATCATAGGGGAAAATAACATATAGGCTTAGCTGTTTTTATTTGTTTTGTGGTGTTCTAAATTTATTGCCAAATAGAATAAACATGTAAACTAATGCAAATTTCATATATAAATTTTTGCAAGCTTCACATATTTAAGTAAAAAGAATCTAGATAAGACAGCAGCAACAAAAATAATAATAATGAAACATTTTCAAATCCAGAAGAATCCTTTATTTTCCTTTCCACCAAGAACTACTACCCCACCTCATACATGAAAATGCACAACTGCTCTTCTGATTTTTTCCTTTCTTTCTTTTAGTACCAGGGATTGGACCCAAGGATGCCTAACCACGACCCACATTCCCACCCACCGCTTTTTATGTTATATTTTGAGACAGGATCTTGCTTAGGGCCTTGCTAAATTGCAGAGGCTGGCTTTGAATTCTCGGGCCTCCTGCCTCAGTCTCCGTAAACCAATAGAATTACAGGTGTGAACCACCATGCCTGACTGCTCTTCTGATTTTAACATCATTATTTACAGTTACTTAAACTTAATATTTTTTGAAAAATATTTTTATTATACAGTGTGATAATTTGATGCATGTTTATCATGAATAATGCTTAAAAAGGGGTAATCAGCATTGATGTTTCCTTACACCTTTAAAATCTTTATTAACTTGTAGTTATGGTGCATATCTTTGCATGCAGTGTGATATTTCAATACACATATATAGTGTGTACTAATAAAATTAGGGTTAATAACATTTCATCTTACTATACTTTGTGTTTGGAATCTTTCAAGCTCACTCTTCTAGTTATTCATAAAATGTGATGGGTTATTTTGAACTATAATCACCCCACTGTGATATAGCACACTAGAACTAATTCCTTCTTTCTAAATGCTTTGGTAGCCATTATACAATCTCCTTATTCCTACCCCCATTTACCTTTTACAGCATCTAGTAACTGTTCTCCTAAGTTCATATTGACCTTCTACATGTGAGAGAGAAAATGTGATAATTTACATGTTTGATTTATTTCACTTACATAATCTCTTCCAGTTCCATGTATTTTTCAGCAAATACGAGACATTGCTCTTTTTCATGATTAATTATATCCCATTCTCTATATATACCACATTTTCTTATTCATTCTCCACTGATAGTTATCCAGGTTAATTCCAGATCTCAGCTATTATGAGTATGCAACAATAAACATCAGTGTGCAAGTATGTTTTTGAATGGTGATATCATTTCCTTTGGATATATTACTGGGAGTGAAATGATTGAATTGCCTGATAGATCTATTTTTGCTTCTTTTTAGAAACCCTCTTATTATTTTCCCAAATGGCTGTACTATTTTATAATCCCACCAACTGGGTATAATAGTTCACTTTTCTCCTAATCCTCACCGGCATTTATTATATTTTATTAAATTTTGGTGATAGCCATTCTACCTGGGATTTGTAAGACTATTAGACCTATTAAACATGAAAAGTGTTACATAGGCTTTAATAAATATTGTTTATCGAATTCATTATTTCCATTGCATTCTAGTAGAAAGTGTATTATAAATGAGTGTTAGATTTTATCATGAACTTATTTTATTTTTTCTTTTAACTTAGAGAAATATTGATTACACAGGTAGGTTTTCAAGTGTGAAATAGAATTTGCCTTTTTTAATATGGACTAAACTCTTACATGTATCCAATTTTCTAAAAGTAAAATGTGATTTGTACCAAGCTCCAGTGTCTAATGAGTGGACTAACATATCTTCTATACTTGTTTATCTCTCTGCAATTTTAGACTTTTTGATTTTTTTCACTTCATATTGTTTCTGTGAGAATCGTCTTTGTTCTCCTCCTTATCTCACCCTGCACTCCTCTTCCTCCTGCTTCTTCTTCTTCTCCTGTTGCTTTCTTTTTGCCTCCTCATGTAGAATTTATGAATGTGTCAAGATTTATTTCCACACTGTTCTTTGGATGAGCATCTGTATTGTTTTCATTTTAAGCCTATAATGACTCCATTTGCCAACAATATTCTATCACTTATCCTTCGGGGTCATAAGGACTCAGTAATGTTTCTGTTGAATCGTAAAGTAATATATATGGCAGAATTTAGTATTTTATTCCTCTGGCTTTCAAAATATTATAACAATGTACACACCCTAGAGTAAGGGGAAAAGGTTCTCAATATCAAAACTTTGAAATGTTGGTCAAAACAGATATTTTAAAAGATTGTGTGTGTGTTTTTTTTTCTTTTGAGAGCAGCACTCAGTTCACAGAAAAATTAAGAGAAAAAGTCAGAGATTTCCCATATATTCCATGCCTGTATTTGTCCAGTTTGTTTAAATGACTCTCTCTGCTGCATTATAGTTCCTTTATTCCTTTTATCAAAGAACAATTGACTATTTTGGGTGTACTTTTCTGGACATTCTATTCTATCCTATTGTATTCTTTCAGGGAATTCTATCCCATTCAACTCTAGTATATTCTAGTCTATGTCATTGATCTGTTGGTCTATTGATTCTTTCACCAATATTATACATTATACTATTGATTCTTTCACCAATATTATACAATATTTCCTGATTAAATGTATGTTAAGTCTTGAAGTTGCCTATGCCAGTCCTCCCACTTTCTTCTTCTTCGATATTACGTTACTTATCCTGGGCATTTCACCTCTCTTTGGAAATATTAGAATTAGATTGATAATCACAAAATAGCATACTGTGTCTTTGGATGGCATGTATACATGAGTTTTGGAAGAAATGACATCTAGACAACAGTGTTTTTCTGTATATGGACATGTAGTATCTGTTTACTTATTCTTTTATTTTTTTATCAGAATTTTTAGTTTTTTTACATAAGTCTTGTTTTTATACTGCCAAATTTATATCAAAATGCTTCATGTTTGAGGGGATGGTAATACAAATGATACTGTGTTTTTAATTTTAAACTTGACTTGTTCATTACTGATAGGAAAGCTACTGATTTTTATGTATTAACTTCCTGCTCACTTCAGCAGCCCATATTCTAAAATTGTATTTCAACCTTGTGTCCTTCAGTCTTCCTATAAAGTTGAAAACATCCAGGAGGATTTTTAGTTGTTATTCAATTCTGTTGAATTTTATGCATAGACATGACACCTGATAACAAAGAATCCTTTATATATTCTTTCCCAGAAACAAATTTTTAAAAAGACATAAAAAATTTCCAGTTTTGAATTTCAAAGCCACTCCAATGACTCTGTTTTGATATAACAGTATTTATACAATAATTGATGATTTTTAAATATAGTTATATATTTAGACTTTGATATCCTGTTTTGTTAAGTATTTTTGCAGTTGATTTTTCTTTTTTTTCTAGTTGGATGTCTAATGCTGGTTTTAGAATTAAGAATTTGTGATTATTGTGGGAGTTTTTTTTTTCTATTTCAAAATTAGCAATAACAGCATTTTTAGTTGGGAATGTATTGACTCTGGGTTGGCTTTTCATTCTTCTTTTATGTATTTATATGAATAAAATGCATTATTTTGCTTGGTTATTTTTGTGGGTGCTGTTTACATTTTATCTTATTAATCTTGTACCATATTTAAGATATCTTTTGTTATCCAAAGATGAGATTATTACATGTTCTTCTAGAAAATGTGTGTTTCTAGATTGTATATATAAATCCATACAATTTCTTAATAAAATTAGAATTTTTGCATGTTTAGTTTTTAGATTTACAAATACTTTGAGTGTATTGTGATATACAGAATAATATTTTGATATAGAAACATATACAGGAATAACTTCTGAGATGAATAAATATACTATTTAACATGCACTTCCTCAGTACTTATTGACTTTATCATAGTTGAGTGTTACATAAAGTACACAAAAATGATGTTTCATCAGTTTACACAGAAAATCTATTATTGTAAGTACCCCAGGTTCTCTCCTTTTCAAAATATTGCCCTGGTTTTCTAGGTACTTTGAATTTCAAAATAAATTTTGGCATCTATTTGAGTATTTTAAAGTACTGTTAAATTTCTTATTGTTTCTACATTAAAACTACAGAAAAGTTTACGGAGAACTGACTTCTTTACAGAAATTATTTCTTCCAACTCATGGACATTGTGTATTGCTACATTCAAGTTCTCTTCAAAAATTTATAGTCAGGTTTTTATGCATGTGACTTGTTCATTAGATTTTTCTTAAATACTTCAGTTTTTATTTCTAGTGTAGCTAGCAGTTTTAAATTAGTACTCATAATGTTCTATTAGGTGGCAAAATTATTGATCTTTTTATATGATAATCTTATATTAACAATTTTACCAGCATCACTCATTTATAAAGTTTGTTTTTCGATTCTTTGGAATTATTATGTACAAAATTATGTTTTTTGAAAATAACTGCTTGCAATTTTACTTTTTAATTTCTTAAGCAAAACACTATATATACATAGATAAATAGATAGATAGATGCATGTGTGTATATATACATACATACATACACACACACACACACTTACATACATGTATACAACCTGCAGCTCAGGATGATATGTGATGCCCACTAAGATGAATATATACACACATATATGCACTCATACATATGTATTTATATAATAGAGATAGACACTATATCTTAATAGAAATCCGAGATGACACTTAACATTGGGGAGATAAAGTGTCTTAAAGGCTTCTATTGACAATGCATTATTTTTGGTAGTGTACATATGCAGAACACAGTACAGTAGCTGCAGATGCCATTTTCTGCATGTCAGTATGCCAGGACAGGTATGCTTGGAAGGACAGTGACAGAAACTTCAGACATTTACACTGATCTGATCTAGAGGACAAATCAAAGTGGATATCAAAAGGACAAACAACATGAACCCATCTAATATGTTGAAACCATTTCTAGTTTCCTATGTCATTTCTGCATAGTGCTTTCAAAGACTTATTGCATATAATAATCAGCCATCAATAACCTTATTTAATATATATATATATACATTCATATTGAACTTTAAATAGAAATTTTGCACAGATTTTTCCAAATCCTCTGTATGGCACCTTTCACCTCTTTATTTCTTAAACTATAAATCATGGGATTCAGCATGGGTATCACCAGGGTGTAAAATAAAGAGGCCATCTTGTCAGTATCAAAGGAGTGACTGGATTTGGGCTGCACGTACATGAAGAATAGAGTCCCGTATAATACAACCACCACTGTCAGGTGAGACCCACAGGTGGAGAAGGCTTTACTCCTGCCCTCTGCAGAGTTCATTCTGAGGATGGCCAGGAGGATCAGAATGTAGGAGATAAGGACTATCAGAACAGATGAAACCAGATTAAATGCTGAAAAGATCAATTTTATTAACTCAATCTCTTGTGTATTTGAGCAAATCAAAGTTAACAAGGGAAGACTGTCACAATAGAAATGACTAATAATATTATTGCCACAGAAGGAGGAGATAAATATTTTTATGGTGGTTACCAGAGACAGAGAGGCGCTGTAGAGATAGGGGGTTACCACCAGCACCCAGCAAACTCTTTTTGACATGATGACTGTGTAGAGCAGAGGGTTGCAGATGGCCACATAGCGGTCATAAGCCATTGCTGCGAGAATGAAAAGCTCACTGATGATGAACATGATAAAGAAAGCTAGTTGTGTAGCACACCAATTGTAGGGAATTGTGTTTTGATTAGCTACAAAATTTACCAGCATTTTAGGTCCCACGGCTGTTGAATAACCAAGATCAATGCAAGCCAGATGTCTGAGAAAAAAGTACATGGGTGTTTGTAGCCTGGAGTCCACCTGGGTGAGGATGATCATGCCCAAGTTGCCCAGCAGTGAGATCACATAGATGATGAGAAACAGCCCAAAGAAGGGAGCCTGAAGCTCAGGGTGGTCTGTGATGCCCATTAAGATGAATTCGTCCAGCACTGTAAGATTTTCTTTCTTCATCCTGGCCATTAAGTTAACTGATTGTGGGAAGTATCATCAAAAATCACTGGATTTCAGGAGATATCACCTGTTAAAATTTTGATGTTCCAAAATATTATGCATTAGTTAAACCTAATGTTTTTTTGTATGCTTTTTTATTTCTTGGTTTTGTTTGTTTTCAGTACCCATGTAAGTTCTACTGATAAACTACATCCCAAACACTTTTTATTCTTATTTTGATTTCCAAGCCTGGACTTGAATTTGCAATCCTCATGGCCCATGCCCAGGAGGCTTATATTTTTCAACATAAAGTAATTTTAAATGGCTCTCCTCCATCACTGCATCTAAAACCTAACTTGCAAACCATTACATCATTAGGTTAATTTATTTACATTGTTTTGGAGTCTGGTCCACTTTTGTCTCATAATTTACTAATGTATGTACTAACCCAAATACTGACAGCTGGCTTTCTTATCTTATTCCCTGCTGAGAGATTTTACTCCCTATTCTTAAGAGGTCCTGTTTTACATGGGGGCCTCTGTCTCACTACCTTGTCACTAATGTAGATATGAGTATTCTAACAATTATTAACATGCAAATAACATCATTTTAGAAATAAATAAAAATTATAAAAGCTTACATTCAACTTGTGTTAATCACAAGTTTGGCTAAGAAATTTAATTTTAGGATATCTATAAATATAATTTATCATGTTATCAGATCAAATGAGAAAGAAAAAAATGAATATTACAATATATTAATAAATACTTACGAATGACTCCAAATAATAAAAATTTAGAACTGGAATGCAATTCCATGATTCATAGAATGAATCAGAAAAACTAATCTGTACTTACTCTTAAAAGGAGAAAATTACATCTTTTGAAAAAAGTTATAGACTTCCCAAATAAATCTGTAGAAGTGCTATGTTCATGGATTACACAACAATGTCATAAAATGTCAATTATTTTCTTTTTATTGACTAAGATATGTTTATTCATATATATGATGTACATTTTGATAATCTGATAGAACTATATATATATAAAACATGTAATTGTCAAATCATTGTAATGAACACTTCTATCTCCTCAAATATTAACCATCTTCATGTGTCAGAATAGGAATCATCCTCATACTCTTCTGGTCATTATGAAATGTATTTTAGATTGCTGTTACCAGTATTTACCCAGCTGTGCTATACAAAATCATGACACATCCCTCCTCTCTGATCATGTTTTGAAGCCCTTTCTGATTTCTTCCTGTCCCTTACTCCTATCCTTTCCAGTCTTTAGGGACCACTGCGCCACTCTTCTTCTATGTGATAGACTTTTAACTTATATCAATGAATAGAATGTGTTATTTGTCTTTCCATGACTTATAAATTTTGCTTCACATGCTTGTCTCTTACAACAGACTTTTCCCAAAATAATCTATTTATCTGATGCCTTTACAAACTATTAGTAATGTATTTTATAGGATTTGACAATGACGCTACTACTTACATAGAAAATGGAGATGATAAACAATATACAAGACATGCCTCAAAGTTACCTATGCTACCAAATTTTTAAGAAGTCTTAAGACAATGTGGCAATGAAGCACAACAAGGTGCTCAGATGACAAAACATGTTTTTAATGGATTGTAGTGTGTGACAGAGGTAACGTGTACAGTGTGGCAAAAAAAAAAGTCTGTTTGGTAAATGAGACTTCACGGAGTAGTGAAATTGTAAGTTTGTTTAACCCATTAAAGAACTAGTACTAAGGCTGGGGTTGTGGCTCAGAGGTAGAGCGCTCACTTAGCATGCATGCGGCTCTGGGCTTGATCCTCAGCACCACATAAAAATAAAATAAAGATATTGCAATCACTTACAACTAAAAACTAAATATTTTTTAAAAAATTAGTATTAGATAAGAAACTTAACATCAAGAGACAACTTAAAAATTCTTTTACTCTTAACTACAATCTCTGCCTGTCCTTAAATTTTAAAAAACTGAAATTTTAAGAAAGTCAGATTAGAAATTTCCAAATCAATTGGATAGAATATATCTTCATACTAAATTTTATCCATTCAAAATTCTACTCCCCATATTAGCAAAATACATAGAAAAATGGAAAACATTCATTAATAACCATTGAACAAAGAAAATGAAAAATTCTGATACTTTAACCTAAAAAATTATTATACCCACAGAAAAGAACTGTCCAGAGTTGCATAAAGATTTTCATCTCAACCTCCACTGCCTTTTAACTTCCCAAATCCCAGGAGTGCTTTTGAAACAACTGAATTGGTTGTCTCCTTCCCACCCACTATTCCCCACCCCTGCACTGACTAAAAACAAAAAAGGACCTTCAGCCAGGAGTCTTGTTTGTTATCTGATGGAAGCTTGCACTCCTGAGTCAGGGTGACACCAAGAACTGGGGAATGGTACTCAAGCCCAAGGAGGCCACTGATGCAAATGGCAACAAGGGACCTCATTCAAGTGTTCTATAAAACTTCACAAACAGCTACAAATGAGAAGAATAAATAAATTGATCAAACTGAGAACATTGTGCTCCTAGTAAAAGGAGGGAAGCAAAATTGGCAGAGGGGATACTTAGGAAAGAAGAATCATGAATAGGTCTACAAATGTTTTTAGCTCAGCAATTTTTGGGTGAGTAAGTATCAACAGAAATATGTACATATATTGATTATTTAAAATCACAAGTGAAAAGCACAGACACTTTGACTTTTTAAAACAGCATTATTCAATATAATTATATTCCATTATGTAAGATTCTAAAAAACTGGATAAAATTTCATGGGCTGGAATGTCTTCTCTGATATAAGGGAGGTGACTCAAAATAGGATAGGGAGGAAGAGCATGAGAAGAAAATTACCTCTAGATAGGGAAGAGAG